TAGATAGATAGATAGATAGATAGATAGATAGATAGATAGATAGATAATAATCAAGACTAAACTTTTTCTGCTTTAGATCAGTTAGAATTACCATACTCTGTCCAATTAGTTAAATACCAGAACAATTGCATAATTAATGGCTTTCTACAAATAAATATGTTTACAGAATCTGACATTACTATGCAATCAAACAATTTAAATGAGGCACTCTGATTAATTTGGCGCTGCAATTTCTCGTTGGTTATTTCACAGCATCAGAGTTCACTGCTGGGACACCAGTGGATGTTTTATAAGGCCCTGTCCAAACAGACACAAAATCTGTTTCTTTTAAAAAAGACTAGACAGAATGTTTGCTCCCCCTGTTCCATTAAACTATGATGAAAAACATAAGGAAAAACAGTAAATTTCAATTTTTATTGTAGCATTAACAAAGGCTAATATTTTGGTCACCCTAAGTGACCTAAAATAGGAAGAGTTTTTTTCCTGAGGTCAGAAAATGTAGAATGAAAAAAAAACATGCTGACATAATCTTGGTATAAATATGGATAGTGCTCATCCTGTAAAATTCAATTTTTATCAACTTAAAAAAATGGCTAAAATGAAACATGTTCTTTGAAAACAGGGATTTTAGACTTTAATCCATGTATTTCTGAGAACAGACGTTAACTATAGTAACTCTCTACTGCAGCGTCTCACTGACATCCGTCTCCTCTCCGACTGGTGGAGAATGGAGCGTTTTTTTGTTGTTCTTTTTTTAATCGGTACACATAACTCCTGTTTTGGCCTCACTGCCAGGCTGCCTCCCCATTCTTGGGTTTATTTTAAGATTTTCAGATCATTTTATTTGTTTATATATGTGTAAATGCTCCTGCCCTGCCCTACTTCTCTGAGCTTTTACAATTACATGGCCCTACTTTTCCTTCAGGTCAGCGAAACCGGCTTCTCTGAGTGGCTGAGAGGGGCTCAGAGGACACAGAGCATTTTCTCCAAGGCTTTAGAAATCACTGCCACAGAACATTAGAACAGGCTCTTCACAATTAATTTTTAAATGTCTTCTGAAAACTAATCTTGATTGCATTAGCTTTTGAACCAGCATGAAAGAGGTCTCTTTATTTTTTTGTCCCCTTGTATTTGTGTTTTAATGCATATCTATGATATCTGGAACTTTGTCAGTTCCACTGTTTTTAAAATGCTTTCTGAATAAAATGAGCTTGGTGTGATTACACACAGAGTGATATTTATTTATACGGTTCAGTTTTGTTAACCCAGTAATGATTACATGATTTAGAACAAATATTTGTCTTTAGATATAGAGCTGTTTACTAACCAAAAGGTAATTTCATGTGCTTTGCAGTATACACTATGTCATTAAAACACTTTACAGTACAGTATTTTATATTGTTAATTATTTTAACTCTTCACTATTATTTTCCTTTTATACACTGTCCAATTTTTGCTATAATCTGTTTGCAGCTGTAACACCAGTATTTCACCATTGTGGGACAATAAAGGGATTTTCTATTCTATTCTATTCTATTCTATTCTATTCTATTCTATTCTATTCTATTCTATTCTGTATACATGTAGGCTACTTAATACTGGTCATTTTTTTAATGGATTACTGCACTAATGTGGTTTTAAATGGAGGCAAACGACCCTTAGATCTGCAGACCAAATTGAACATCGGTCGCTTCGATTGCAGCCTACAGCTTATATGCATCATGGGGTCTAGTGTCTCTCATCTTTTTACCGACAGCAATCCAAAGATTCTATATTAGGTTTAATGCAAGCCTGTTTGCTGGCAATTTTAAATACAGCGATAAATAACGTTTTTCTTTAAAAAGTGATATTTGGCAATAGGACCAGATGCCAAAACCTGCTGGAGAGTGAAATTAATATATCTATAAAGCTTGACAGTAGTTGGAAGCATGAACTGTTTAAAATCTCTGACTTTTGACTTCGTAAAACATAATGGACCAACACCAGTGGGTCCATTATGTGCTACAGAAATCACCACTGGCTGGGAAAACTTCCCGCTGAGCTTAAAGCAACTTGAATTATGTGTCATGTGGTCTTGTGTCTTCAGTTCCAAGTTAACTTTTTGCTTTGTGAATCTCCAATTTGATGGACTTTAAATCAGAATCCCCTCAAGGCTGTGTGGACATCTTTATCATTTAATAAACATCTAGAATAAATCTGTGTTTTTGATTCTGCAGGTTATCACAGATAAATTTCACTTTTGAAAAGAAGTAACAGAAATGAATGAACTTTCAACATTGGTTGTTAAAGCTTTGAGTAACAATGCTGACCCCCCACTTCTTTTGCTGCACACTGCTTTTCACCTGTCTAAATTAAAAAATTCTGTTCTTTAGAAAAGTTTTTATTCATCACTCCTGAGCTCAACCTATTTGTCAAGGTCTTTTCTTCAAAGCTTGACAGCTTATTTACTCATTTTCTATCACATAAATGTTTAGAAGCAGAGCAACATATAACATTGCATGTGCTTAATATTAACAAAACTAGACAGGTGTGGCACAAAAGAAGTCTTCAGTAGTTACAACCACATCTGAAATCACATTTTTTGAAAGTCGGATATATTCGCCATCCCTTAGCTGAATATTTACAGAGTTTTTCTAAGGCATCAAATTGTGCCGCATTTGTTCTATTTTTCATAGGTAACTATTTGACTTAGTGTAGTTTTCCTAAGAACAGGCAGTTGAGATCATTTCTCAAAGGTACTGCAATGAAAATAGGGTAAAAAGAAAAAAACCCAAAGAAAAATCTGAAAGACCTTTAGAGAACCAGATCAAAAACTCATCACGATATCTTTGAAAAATTGCAAAGAACCATCCACCTCCTTCTTTTAACAAAAACCAGTGAATGAGGCCTTAAGATCTTTACAAAGCAAAAATCTTTCTTTTTTGTGAAATATGTTCTGCATGTAGATATAAAGCTAAAGGTCAGTGCCTCTTCCTGCAGGACAGTATGGCACTCCAGCACTGTTGCCTAAATGTCACCATGTGCTTATATTTGTGCACATTCAGTTTATCGGGGGCTAAACAGACTGTTGTTCCTGGAGCCTCATAATCTCCTCCACATTTTGCCTTGGGATTCTCCCTATTTAAACTCTCCTGAACTGAGACAATGACTTGGAAGCGCTCCGAAACGCCTGTTTACATCAGTGTAAACCGATCCACCCGCAGTCACAGCTTTCAGCCCAGGTTCGTTACAGCTCGTCATACATTAGAACACTGAATCATAGACATTACGTCTCCAAAGTAAAATCACACCAGGCAACCTCTAATCAGTAATCCGTTTCCTACTTTCCAAGGTTCTTACTCTTCAGATTTATTTATTTATTTTTTTATGAAAGAGCATCTGGTGTAGTGTTTATTTGTACTCTTTTATTTGTTTTCCCAAAATAATCCAGCCACTTTGTAATTGAATTCACCAAAAGAGAAGAAAGCCTGGACGAATTATGGTTACAGTATATGTAAAGTAACATGTTACACACTAAATTAACTTTTTGTTTTTAAATGTGATTATTACGCTCACCTTTGAGGCTAGCTCTTTACTATGGTCGTACTTCATGCTGGTGATGGCTCTGTCATGAGACTCCATCAAAATATCCCTGCAAATACACACACAATACACACATATTGCAGCGTTACTTCATTGAAATAAAGTTTTGTGTGTTGTAAGAGATATTCGTTACGGTCGGTAGAACTTACACATTACCCAGTAAGTGATATAAACTGAACACAGTTATGGGAATGTAAACAGAGCATCAGCATAATCACATATGAATCCATGTTTAAATAGCAAATGCCCCAGGGATAGCTCATAGCACTTCTTTATATGGTACTGATCTGTTTCTAGATCCAGATGGAGGTCTGATGTCCAGTGCCAAAGATTAAACAGTCATTGTAACAAAGAGATTTTAGTCTTTCATTTTCCGCGCCTAGGCATCCTGGCCCTGTAGGATCCCCACAAAGAGGTGGTCTCCCCAGTCTTCGGACCCCTGGGCTGTCATCCGGTTCCACAATGAGCATGACCGGCTGCCGAAGGAGCATATAGGCCCTCGGCCCCCGGCAGTATGGCCTCTGGAGATGGCCCCTCAGGGGTCGGGCTCTGGGTGCTCTTGTCTACCCTTCACTGGTGGGCGCTGCCATCCCTGTGTCTGCCTTCTTGTGTTCCCGTGATCTTGGATACCTCTGGATATCTGAGGCTCCTTATCGGTCCTGGGCCCTGTACTGTGAGTCTAGGGCCGCCCATACCTGCTATTAAGCTTTTTTTTCGGTCACAAAATGCTAAATCTTCTACACATGAACATGCCCATGCATGCACACCATGCAAATTTGTGAAAACAGATTTGTTGGGCTATCATCTAGCTCTGGGACATCTATTCCAAAAGCCATATTGGTAAAACAGGACACACACACAAAAAGAAGTGGACTACAGTCATCATAGTTAATACGGTTAGAACCCTCTGTACTCTAAAGGTTTTAGGGATGTAAATGATCTGGTCTTTACCAGCTGCTAACGTATGTGGAATTAACCCATGAGTTAAAATCCCACCCCACACTGTTTGCATCAAGTGAAGATAAATCCAAAAGCCTTGATACATAAAAAGATGTAAATCACTGAGAAGTAAAATGTCCATGCCATTTTCTTGAAATACATTTTTTTGTAGTTTCAACCAAAACAAGTATTTTCTCGTTTAAGAAAAAAATAAAATAAAACTATATTTAAAAATCCCTATATCATAGAAAAAAACTAAAACAATGAATTGCTAAGTAAATATCAAATTCCAAGTCAAACCTAATAGTGTAATTCAAGCACATGTAATAACTCAAGAGAACATGACCTCATTCACTGACTACTAATGGGTTTGACCAGAGCTACAACACCATGAGCAAGGTTGGACATGAGAGTCTATTAATGTATATAATGAGAAAGTAATGTGGTTTTCTGATTCTGGGAATGTCTCAGATGTCAAATGGAGAAAGTTTTAAAAACTCTGAGCCATTTCAGGTTTTTAAGCTAGTTGAAAAATCAATAAAAAGTGTTTCTAGCACTATTGTGTTATTTGTAACATTCAAATGTTTTGCTACTTATATATGTGGAGCAATACATTCTGTCTTTGTGGTCAAGGAGGACCAAACTGAAATATCTAATCTTACAGATGCAATACAAATGTGTTTTGTATTCAGTCCTTGGAATAGATCAATTTTTAAATTAATGTAAATGTGCATAAATGGTTCAAGAATATCAAATATTTTTTATTAAAAAGAGAAGGATCGGTTTAAATCAGATTAGATCTTTAATAAAACTGATACATTTAGAGGTAACTAATTAGTGTATTTTCTTTTAAGTTGTTTCAAAGGTACTATTTTTTTGTGTGTGATTTAAAGGTAGTGAATAAAGATAATGAAAGTGTGCTGCAGAGTGATTCAGTGGGTAGGACTGCTGCCTTGCAGCAAGAAGTTTCCTGGTTCGATCTCCGGCCTGGGGTCTTTCTCCATGGAGTTTGCTTCTTCATTCTATGCATGCATGGGTTCTCTCCCTCTCTGTCTGGGTACTCCAGCTTCCTCCTACAGTCCAAAAAACACGACTTCTCTAAATTCTCCATAGGTGCGAGTGTGTGTGTGTGTGTGAATGGTTGTGTCCTGTTTGTCTCTGTGTCGCTCTGATATAGACTGGTGAACTGTCCAGGGGGTACCCCGCCTCTCGCCCATTGACAGCTGGAGATAGGCACCAGCACCCCTCACGACCTCAGCTGGGAAAAGAGTGACAGAAAATGGATGGATTAAAGATACTGTACTTGGATGTCCCATTCTCACCCTAAACCAGAGCTCACGGATTGGCAGACCGCGGCCTGGAGTCGGACCCACCCGCTGGCTAATCCGGACAAAACCTGGTTTGAACCATTTATAAATTACAGCATGTTGTCCAACAGCAGTGTCTAATTTCACTTGCGCCGCTTCTCCTCTTTGTACGGTAAAGCCCACCGGGACCAGGCCACACGTGATGCATATTAGCCAATGAGCTGTGTCAGTCAGAGCTGTTGCTGCTAGCTATTTTTAGACACATCAGGCAAACCCGTGGCAAGCCGGGCGGTGGGTAACGATGATGAGAGAAAGTGAAAGAAAGTGTAGACTGCTAGAAGAGGCACGGTGAACTGGTGACGGAAAAGTGAAATGGTGTGCTCAGAGATCACCCTGCACCTTTTGAGTATGTTTGGCTCAACCTCCTGCTGTGAAGCATGATTCTCCACCATCAACATATTCAAAAATAAATAGCGATCCAGGCTCACAAATGAGCACCTTGATATGTGCTTGAGAATAGCTTTATCGCCAATCAGACCCCGGTTTGAAACCTTGCAGGGCAGCATAAAGCCCTTTTTATGGCTCTCATAAAGCCATAAAAAACAAAGAAAAAAACAAACAAATGTCAGTTCAGGTGTTTTATAAAATATGTGAATCAGGAAATTGTCTATATACCAAACTGAACAACTGTTGTTCTCTACTTCAAAAAACACTTTAGATTTTAAAATGGAAAACGTTCAATTTTTTTTTTTACATTTTTTTTTTAATCTAAAGTAGTCAATGTATAACAGATGCATAAAAAACTCATTTTATTTCAGTGTTAAATTTTGTTTAAAGTAACAGATTATAATTAAAAATGTCTCCGGACCTTTACTGGTTGTTGATTTTCTATATTCGGACCCCACTGATTTTTAATTGGTTACCCCTGCCCTAAACTTTTGAAAATCCTGCGACAATTTTAAAATCTTGCCAGTGTTAACTGGTGTTAACTCAGTTTAGAATGTATAATCTGCAGAAGTCTCCTGCAGGTGTAAATTAGAGGTCCCTGTTTACATATAAGTACCAAAGTATCATGAATGTTACTTAACACCACATAAAGCACACAATATTGAATAAATGCAGAGAGATACTTTACTGCATTTTCCAGCTTCAGAGTTTTCATATATACATAGCAATGATTTAACTGTAATGTACCCGCTATTTAAATTGATCTGAATTGACTCGAATCATTATCAGGGAAAAAATCTTGATCCGGATAATCACAGTAAGAATATGAATAAAAAAAGAAAAGAAAGGCGAGACAGAAAGAGAGCATTGTGGGACATGATCTGAGGATAGCCGGAGAGAATAAACTTTATTGAGATGTTGATCTTCTGTACAAATATATGTCATTTCAGCAGCTGGTTTGGCTGATGAAATGTGAAGGAGAATGAATCTCAAAGGACAAGCCAAGGAGCTGGCTGCTTTTAGGAAATGTTTACACAGTATGTTTGGGTGGAAAGGACTTTTCAAACGAGCTGCCAAATCCTATCTGCACTAGTTACAAAAATCACTACATTAAGGACATACTTGCTTTCTGTCTCAGCGAGTTTATTTTTAACAGGGTTGGAGGGGGATTTGCACTTTACACTACAAATGTATTTATATGCATTATAAGCCACATTACAGTCAACAATTTTACGATTTATTATAGAGATTTTATGGGACACATCAGTAACCCCCTTTTGTCTGTTACCCCAAAATTAAATCTGTGCCCAACCACTTACCTTTTGGCTGACACGCACCATGCTTTGTACAGCACTCCACTCTGGACAAACCCTCAGTTAAACACGAAAAATATCTGCAGCTGTGTCATTCTTTGGTTTTGCGTTTCCTTAGCAGGGATTGGAAGCTGGGCAAATACAATGTGGGAGACTTGTGACCGGGACACATCCTTCAGCAGGACAACAACACAAAACATACAAAAAGAGCTACAATTGGATCATTTCGATCGAACTAGGGCATAAGAAGCTGAATTTATATTTGGTCAAAATCTTTAAAAAGCATTCTACTTGTCCACAAATACACACTGCCAACTGAAATGTATTTAAATTTTGTTGTAATGTGATGAAATGTGGAAAAGTTCAAGGTAACAGGAAAAAAACAATGTAACTGTTTGGCAGTGCTTTTTGTTGGAATATTTCTAAGGGGGATGAACTTTGTCTGAAGAGATGTATTTGTGTGTGCAGGTGTGCACACCTCATGGTGTGCTTATATCTGATAAAGCTATATATTACCTAAAACATAATAAAAAGCTGCCTTCCACCTCATCTTGGTCTGGGCAGACATAATATTATTCACTCCACTAGCTCTGGCTAATCACATCAGCCTACTGACTGTGCGCGTGCGCACATCCACACACAGAAAGAGGCGCAAAAATAGATGAAGCCAGAGAGTTCTGCATGAACGCCCCCAAAGACTACCAAGTTTGATGCCAAGGCCTGACTCCCTTTCAAATGCTGCCCTGGCCTCATTAATCGAAGACAAGAGAAGTAAGAGGAGGAGCCATCACTGTAAGACATCCACCAGAGTGTAAATTGTTATTTTAGATATGTTTGGCACGGTTACTCTGAAGCTTACACTGCTTTGAGATAATACATTGCGTATGTGTGTGTGTGTGTTCAAAGCACAGAGCCATCAAGGATTTCGTAGTTAAGTCCTTTCTTGCAAAGAGACCCCAGGATGTGAGGATTTGACAGATTTATGAAGCTGAAGCCTTTTTAATATGTATCAAACTGCTGATGCATACAATATCTCTATGTGT